GATCACGCTGGCATGAAAAATATTTCAGCTGAAGTTTCCATATTTTGTCTGTGATCTAACTGAATACACCTTATAACTTGTAGCAAGATAGAATTCCGTGAGCTACGTTGTTACAGCCGCTGCGCGCTGGACAAAATCTTTGAAATTGACACTTTCGATCGCTGTTCACAGGGGTGGTCTGGCCAAAAATGATTTTTGGCTTGTGGCGAAGCAAAAAAAGAGAATTGGAGAACAACTAAACTATTTTTGAAACATGTGTCCTAAACCCTTTTCATGGGCAAAAAATAAAAGAAAACTTTTTTCCGACGGAAGTCGAGAGGACCGCTCTTAGCGGGAGCGGCACTTAAAACATTATTGAAAAAAAAAATTGTTAAACGTTTGAGTCGGAGCTATTCCTGTCAGCGGTGAAATACAGGAATGGCTCCGGTCTCTGGTCGTCCGCCTGAACTGGCTAAATGAGTTTAGTCAGCAGAGCTAGTCAGCAGATCACTTTTTCATCGCCGGAATATCGCTGAATGACTTCGATGAACAAGAAAGGCTGCCTTCCCTTCGCTAGGTAAGTAACCATTTCTTGTTTGACACATCGGTATTTTCACTCGCATTGATATTTCATTGTTCCGCTTTGATACACGCGGTTAACAATACTCACGAGTAAGGAGTTAAAATAAAACTTATTAACTTTTACTATTTTTATCATCCAATCACAGGTCGGAGCCATTCCTGTGTTTAGTCGCTTGTTGAACAACAGAATATGGAGTTCTGTGCACTGTAGTGTGATCATGGTTATTGTTCCTTCACGACGAGAGTGAGGGGAAAATTTTTGAATCAATAGCGACGCGCGGACGTACTAAAAATAGATTACGTCACTTTTGGACCCCCAGCAAAGGTCAGACAAACATTGCTGAAAGTACAATAATTCGACAGGAAGAAAATCTATGTGTTGTTGGATATTTTATGCTGCAAATGGTCGCAGCAAAACACTGCTGTTGGGGAGGGTGTAAAAGTGATTCTAGATTTCCTCATTTGCTTCATCGTGCTTTAAAGAAGAGATTACAGGAAGGGAAACCGATATTTTTATCGTTCCCGAAGAAGTCTCTAGGACTTGAGAGATGCCTTCGATGGGTTAATTTAAATATTCAATAGTGACATCTCATTTACATCCAGATCTAATTTTATTACGTTGGTAAAATCTGTCTAGACATCACGCCAACCAACTCGTGCGCAAAGTGAAAAGACTACATGAAGGTTGAAATTATATTACGATCAATTTTCATCAAGATGTGGGCCAGGAATATTCCAAAATAGTGCAAATAATCGTGAAAGCTGATCGCGGAAAAGCAATTGCGTGAAGTTCGGTAAGTTATAAGATGACATGTTATCACATACAAGACGAAAAAACTCTTCAGATTCTCAGTCTGCATTTTGTACCCACTCTGCAGTCTGCAGTCTACATTTTGTACCTAGTCTATATTTTTTATCCGGTCTGCAGTCTGTTGTCTGCATTTTGTACTAACAGGTATCCGTGGCACCAATACAGTTTATTTTTGTTTTCAATTATTCGCACAACACACACAATCTACCACAGAATACCTGTGTGTGAGTTAATTCGACATTTTCGTTCTTTTCCGCGTTGATACTCTTCTTCCCTTTTGTAAAATTGAAGATTTCAAGTAATCCACCCACCCCCAAAATATAACTCTTGCATGCATAGCATGCCTATGTTTTCGAGGGAGAGGAAGTAATTTCTTAAGATGAACGTTACAGGCCAGTTTTCACTGACCTGCTTATCACAGTTTGACCATCGATACTAACATCTCACCTTAGAGAAGAAATTCTCAGCCTACTGTACAATCTAATAGCTATCGGAGCTCAGATGTATATTTCCTAGTATTCAGGAAACCCTGATATACTGGGATCATGCCTTTTAGAAATGAGAACACAAAGCAACGGCTGTGTCACGACACGTATATTTCCCTGAGACTTGACATCCTCTCGTCTTTTTTTTTCTTTTTGTCGCCTCGCACATATTTATTTTTACGGTTTAAATGCACTTGCTACGGCGTGGAACGGGAATCATCGGTAATTTCAGCTCAACTTCGATTGTGAGTTTCATTGCCAAAAGCTCGCTAAAAATGTGGATCGATGCCTAAAATATTCAAATTTAGTCCAGAATTTCTTACCTAAGAAAATCAGAACGACCAATGAAATTAATCACTGCAATTTCTCCTTCTTTTTTTGGCCTGAATCTGGTATTAAAGGAGACTTAGGAAGAACATCTAAAGATTGAAAACGTTAAGTCATCTAATTTCGCCTGCTTCAAGTCCCTTGTGTTAAAGCCCGATTAGCATACTTAAACACTTTTACAGACGACTGCACTTAAATTGTTTTACAGAATTTCTTCAGTACAGGCAATCTTTTTCCCTGGAGCGAACTTTGTAATGGGTGAAACTGCTCCAAGGATAAAATTCCGTAAACCAGTAACACGCCGGCAAGCAGTCCTGATCACTAACGGAACTACGCGCTTGCAGAAATCCCTTGTGTTAAAGCCACATAAGCATGCTTACACACTTTTACAGACGACTGCACTTAAATCGTTTTACAGAATTTCTTCAGTACAGCCAATCAGAAGATTTCAAGCGCAATTTGGAATAATGAAGCAAGAGTTTTTTTTTTTTTCGACGACAAACAAAGTTTTCAAAAAAAAGTTAACAACGCTTATTTGAATTAAAATTTAAATCACACATTAAAAAGTTTGAGCGGGTTTTTTTTATAATTATGCAAAGGTGACGCACGACATAATTCATTTAAACTTGCTAATGCATTGAGAGCTCGGTCATGGCAATTGCTTTCAATCAAAGCAACAATTTTCTGGATAATTTCTCTTAACTTTGAAGCCCGCCAAAAAAGTCAAAGCCTGGATAATCAGTTTGTTACCTTTTCTTGCGCTACGACTAAATGCCCGGCAG